GCTTTTTGGCAGATTATGACAAACCTTGAAGCTTGAGAGAAAGAGCAAATGGAAAAGATACAATAACTATAATTTACCATGTTCCCCTTTCTATTTAACATTGGTTTGCTTTCATTGAGGAGTCTCTGCTTCTTTTGGCCATGCTGTTGCCTGTCTCCTCAAAGTGTTCCAAGCTCCTTGACATACCTCTGCTAGCTGTGCTTCTTCTAGTGAGCTCCAAGGCTCTGAGAATGAAAAACTACATATCTTAAAGCTAGAAACTACCTCAGGATGGTCCATAAATACTTTATGGTAATTTGTAGCTCCACCCTTGTTGCAGTTTCTTGATTCTGAAATAGTGTAAATTATGTTCCAATGGCTTTGATTGATAGTTTGCCTGCTGTTCCTCTCACTGCTGTAGACAAAGGTGAGTGGTCTCCACCTTCAGTAAGCTCAGAGTCTAGGGAAAGGGATGGAAGGTCAGCAGTTTGATGTGTGATGAGAGAAGGAAGTATAGGACCAGTGTCTTCTCTCCCTGAGTCAGGTCCTGAAGAGTCAGAATGGCGATGCCATTTGAATCTGGAGTGACAGAATGCATGTTCCAGGTAGCAGGTGACATGCATAAAAGGTTTAATGGTTTGGTCCTATTAGGAACAACCAACTGCTACAAGTTGTGCCTTTTCTGTAGTTGGCCACTGGAGGCGTTCTAGAGAAGGTGCTCCAGGGAGAAAATATGTGTATATGTATATATTGGTACATATGTATATGTTATATGTATTTCAGCTTATAAGAAGCATTTAACAGAAGAGATAAGCATAAAATAAGATTTCATACATGTATAAAGCCAGAGCTTTAAGAAATGCTCAGCTGCCTTAGGTAAATGAAATGTTGACATCAAATCCAAAAATCATTCTGCTGTGAAAAAGAGAATCTGTTATTTGGGATTAAGTTCATTGTGATTACACAAAATGTATTGTTATAGCAAAGGGATTTATAATCATTTAACTAAAGTTGTTTCTGCAGAATTTGGGCTGCAGACATCAATCAGACTTCAAAATGGATGAAAGAGATCAGCATAAAGCAAGCAATAGAAAGTCCTGGGGCCCTAAGTCGTTTAAAAAGAATGTGATGAATTACCCACACAGTCTTGATTGGGTGAAGAAGAAGAAAAACAATGCAAACTAGGGAAGCTGGAGTAAAGGGATTGAGGTACTTGGTGAATTTAGGAAGAAGTATGCAAATAAGAGCACCGTGAGGTTGGGACTTTGTTGCAATTAGAGCATTTTTAAAACTACCTTTCGGACATCCTTTCCTGGGATAAGAAAGAAGGAAGCATAGTGAAAAGCATGCCCAGCCCCTAGAACCTGGGATATTTATGTACACAGGTTCACACCCATCTTTTCCCCTCAGTTCACTTCAGAACATTCCAGTTGATTCCTAACATGGAATCAGGTCAAGAGGCTGAGGAAATTGAAAACTGCCCTACAAGGAATTTGAAGAAACAAGTTAACTATTAAATGGGAAATCTAAGAGTAAAAAGCTAAGAGCTAAGAGAGCTAAAAGTCTCTGGACCACAAAGAACTAGCACGCTACATTGCATCTCTTTCAGAGTTTATTTTTAAATGCTAACGGCTCAGCAATTGTTCCTCCTTTGTGAATCACTAATCTATGCAGCTGCCATTACCACCCTGTCAGACTCAGCCCAGCATATTTAGGATAGAGTGTTAAAGTAGGAGTTAGTCATATTTTGGCTTCATAGCCAACCTATTGTTGAATGTTGAAATTGCAACACTTTTTAATCTTTTTGCATCTCATTTTCTTTTCCCTTGATCTGAGTTATGTCTCGGAGCTCAATGTGAATGGAATCATCTAGCTGTGCCATTTTACCTGCAAGAATGCAGTGGTGCCAGTTCCCTGAGCCAGCCACCTGGCTTGCATCCAAATATGTGTTCTGCTTTTGTCAGTTTTATGGGTCTCAGTTATTGTGTGTAGGCTTTGTTTTCTGCATAATTCAATGCCATACTTCATAAGGGGATCTTTAACCCTCCTAAAGGGTTTCCTGTAAAGTTACAGAAAAGGTTGAAGAATATATAGGCAATACCATCTAACAAATTCATTGAGCACCTGCTAAGTGCTGGACACTTAAAACTTATTTAAGACTTACAGTGACACTGTGGGTTAAGGTGGATTGGAGGCAGTGCATGTATCTCCCACAGATGGTGCAGAACAGGGCTGGGTTTTACACATCTGACCTTTGCCCAGTCCACACTCTGTAACATTATGCTATCCATCCTCTTTATGCAGAGAATGACCTATTAAAGACTTTTATTGGTAGGACATAATTAAGTCTGTCCATGGAACTCCTTGAGTCCCCTAAAATGGAGCCAGCTCTTCATTAAAACCCAAATGACTGGTTTCATACCAGATATAGGTCTTGCTCAAATAATGAGAACAAGGTAAGAGATCCTTGCAGAAAATGTTCTTCAGAGGCTCACCGATTATCTGGCTGGTTTGAAGACAGGCCCGGAAATCATTGTAACCTGCCTTGCTGGAGTTTTAGTAGGTGGAAGTAGACTGAAAACTGCACAAATTCTGATATTCATTATTCAGCTGCTTAATTTAGTATCTGTGACATGGTAGAACTTGCAATCTCAAAAAGTAAATAGAAGTAAAATGACATTTTCTTTGTCTAGCTGTAAATCTTCTTATGCAGTAAGATCTAGAACCATGTAACTTAATAAATGTTTCTCTGTCCATTTTATATGTATTTTGCTCATGAAAGCACTGGTTTCTTTTTTTGAAATCCATCCAAGATTCACAGTAGAGTTCTCTCTTACTTTGTCCATGTATATCGTTGAAAACCTGTTGAATGCTTTTTGTGTCTTGGCACTGGCAGAAAAACACAAAACCCCCTTAGTTACTGGTGCATTACTGAGTTAACAGGCTATCACAAAGTCTAAAGTTATTTTCATTCAACCCAGTTAGCTGAAACGCATTGCCTTTGAACATATACTTGGTCTAACAACTGTCTAAAGACTGTGTAGCATGCACATAGTTAAACAAGCAAGACATTAAGGTGACCAAAGGTGGTGGTGACATTTATGTGGTTCATTTAGATCCAAAAGAAAGCAATAGAAGCACTTTGCCATTTTTGAGAGATCAGTATCCTAGATTAGCCTTCAGCCCCAGGGAAAGTGTTATTAGGCTCCTGGTGCTTCGAACATATAAAAGGAACTTATGTGTAAGCAGAAGTAAAGGTTCGGAGAGTCAGAGCATCAGGTTTCATGTTCCAGGCACCTGCCTTGAACACCGCTTTTGTTCAACTGAAGGATGTGAATGGGAGAGAAGGGGATCTAATGGGCGAAAACTCGGATTCCACTATAATCCCCCTTTTCCTTCATGTTTGAAGAAAGCATACTGTGGCTAAAAATGATGTGAAAAATGTGGATTAGGCAGCTCACTCATTAAGGAGTAAATTGAAGTTCAGACCAACTTCAAGAAGAGCAGACAGCTGTGTAGAGAAGTGATTATTATTGCGTATACTACACTACCAGCACCAGCAGTGGCGTTTCACTTGTATGTTATGTCTGAGGGAAGTCTACTCTGATCATTGAGTAAACTCCAAATTGAGATGTCTCATTCTGGGAGAATTGAAGATGGTGAAGGGAACTGGAAGAGGAGGGCAGAGAGAGGTCATCATAAGGGAAGTAAATCTTCATCTGCTATAATTTAAAATGTCAGTGGATGTGATGGACAACTGAGCAATCGAGGCACTGGGGGGTGGAGGAGCATTTGCGCTAAGAGTTAATATATGCATTAAGACACCCGTGTCCTTCACTGGCATGCCTGGGGCCAATACCCAGTTCCTGCCGCTTTGTCTGTCTCCCTGCCAGCACAGACCTTCAGAGGAAGGTATGTGAAGTTCATTTACTTTCTTTGTAAATATTAACCTTTTTCTAGATGTAAACATATAAAATCTATATATTTATTTTTAAAAATAATTATTTTTATTGGAAAGTCAGATATATAGAGAAAAGGAGAGACAGAGCTCTTCTGTCCTCTGATTCACTCCCCAAGTGGCTGTAATGGCCAGTGCTGAGCCAATTTGAAGCCAGGAGCTTCTTCCAGGTCTTCCATGTGGGTGCAGAGTCCCAAGGTTTTGGATCATCCTACTGCTTTTCCAGGCCACAAGCAGGGAGCTGGATGGGAAGCAGGGCAGCCAGGAAATGAACCAGTGCCCATATAGGATCCCAGTGCTTGCATGGTGAAATGTTTAGCCTTTGAGTCATTTCACCGTGCCCTTAATTACAATATTTATTTGAAAGACAGAGACAGAAGTTGGATGCAGATTTTCTATCTTCTAGTTCAGTGTCAGAATGCCCACTATAGTCAAGCCAGTTGAGGCTGAAGCCAGGTGCCAGGAATTCAGCATGGGTAAACAACATGCATGGCAGGAACTCAGCTCTTGAAGCCATCACCTGCTGTCCCCAAGGGTGCACATCTGCAGGACACTGGGTAGAAGTGAAACAGCAGGGACGCAATCCAGACATGCCAATCCACCATGCCAAACACCTCCTGTGCTACTTTTAAACAAAGTATTTGAAAGGAGGACTCATATGTGTTTACCTGTGCTCCTTGTGTCTTTCCTATCCTTGGCAGATAGCTGCTCATGTTCTAGAAGAAGATCATTCCATGAAAAGCACAAAAAAATATGCAGAATACGAGAAGTGATTTCAAATCACATAGTACGAAGGGATCTGGCTTAAGAGATCATGTCTATGTTGGGAAGCTTCCCAAGCAAATCATGCCTGCTTTGGGCTGTTCCTTTGGCATTGCCCACTGGTCATTTCAGAGAGAGAAGCTCCTTCCAGAAACAATAAAAGCATAACTGTGTGAAGACTTTTAAAGCAGCCTGCAGTTAGGAGACAACATGTCTAGTCATTCCTGTTTCCCCTATATTTAGCACCAATTCTAAGAAACATGTCCTAACCACTATTTTTGATGTTTCTACTTGAAAACAGGGAAATGCACATAAAATCATGGAGAAGTGTACCTTACCACTGACTGGAAAGCGATGTGTCAACCGCATCATTACAGAAAAGGTAAAAACTTCCTTTTTAAAAAATTTCCTCTAATATCTAGCACCACCATTTTTATTTATGAGCATTTTTAGAATTTTTTGTTACCCTCTCAAAGTGCATTATGTCAGTCGTCTTCGAATTAATTTAGTCTGTGGGTAGAATGAATAGGAAAATTGATGCATTTAGCATTTCTAAATGTGGAGTTCTTCATGTGCAACTCTCAGGAAATACACACATAAACCCAAGACTAAACTCCTGTCCTTGGTAACTGCGAGAGTAGGATAAAAGCAGAGAAAAGTTCAATTGCAATTACACAAGCACACTTTGCCAGATCGCATGTATAAATTTGGGGGTTTTATTTCTCAGTTCTCTGCCTCCCAGAATTCTACCATCCTTCCAGCTCAGTGCACTTTCCATCTTTGCCATGAAGTTTTGTACTTGCTTAGCTTGCACACAGTGGCTTCATCCTCAGAGTCCCACACCATGCCGTTCACTATGGCACTTGTCACCTGGTGCCTACGTTTTCTCCTGCGAGAACTCGTATTGTTATTCAAGCTGGCTGCCGTTCTTTTAAAAAGGCTTGTACACCCATCTCATTCCCACCCCCCCATTGCTTTATTCACTCAATTAACATGCAGTTTTTGAACATCTTTTCTGAGCCAGGGCATTGTCAACTGTCCTGGAGAAGAGGCAGCACACACAGTCTGTGCCATCAAGTGGCATGTTTGAGAGCACCCAGCTTTACCAGCAATTAGAGTGACAAATACGACAAAGGCTGTGGGAGAGGGGCACACTGCATGCTAGGTCAGAATTGTAGAGAAAAGCCACCTAGCAACCTCACACGAGGGGTCAGGGGAGCTTGGTATGGTATCATTGACAAGCTTTTAATGGTGTTTTGCAAGACATCGCACATTCTGGACCTTTTCTTTTGTCCTTTCTGCTTTAACATTCTCCCCATTCCAGCCACAGTAAAATGCTGTGAGCTACGCTGTATTCGCCCTTGGCTGATTTTCTTCTAGAACTTGTACCTTCTGTGTTTCTCCCAAGAACATTCTACTCACTCAGTTAATCTAATTTTTTTTTTTTTTTTTTTACAAATCTTATGACTCTGGCCTGTATTTCTCTTACAAATCTTCCCTATCCCTCCCCAAATGGTTCTTGTGCTCACCCTAGGTTAGCACTGAAAATAGCCTAAGCACGGCCTCTCTCAGTCCTCACCGTTTGGCCAATGCTTAGCTTGGAGCCTGATCTACACTCGGCAAGTACTTACGGAAACAAGAATGCTGTGCCATACAAAAGCTGGCAGACTGAGTGATGAGTCCCGAGAAGAGAGAGTAACTTCATGGGTTCAGAAAAAGCCACACTAAAGGAAGAAGATGCTGCCTGTTCAAGGCCCTGCAAGCAGAGCAGTGATCAAGGCAGGGTGTTTCTAGATCCTAAAACCCAGCACAGAGATTCAGGAAATGGACTCCATTTGTTGATACCTGCTTGGCAAGGCAGAGATGATGAGTCAGCTGTGGGGTAGAGAGATAGCTGTGTGCTATTGTGTCTCTCAGAGAGGCCCAGAGCCACAGGGAGTTGCAGACAGGGAAAGAATGGAAGACAGACAAAGTTTGCATTTTGTATTCTTGACCACATACGGTCAGGTTTCAATGAACAGTTTGAGGACTGAGAGCTAGAGCTGTCAAGAGAAGGCAGTATCGGAGAGAATATGTAGTTGTCATTAGCCTGTGGGAATAGATGGAGCCTTAATTGTAGAAGGCACATGGTAGGCAGCATGGAGGACTGCTAAGTGTGACTCCACTGCGTCAAGCGAGATGCTTGGTACGTACATGTTGCGTTCAGCAGGAGCGCAGTGCCATTAAGCTGAGGGCAGTGTGTGTGGACAGCCCTTCCACTGGCAGGCGAGGAGCTAGAATTCCATGATGTACTTCAAGGAAAATTGCACAGGTGACTGGAAGAGACACAGGAGAACGTTGTGAGCTGGATTGTTTTGTGTGGCTAGAATGAGGTTAGGAAGAAGGCTTTCTCAGCAGTATAGACTGAAAAATGCTTCTGTCCATAGTGGAGCCTCTTATAAAGGGGATGAGAAAGGAATTACCTACCTGGAAGACAGTGTCGTTTTGATCTTAATCTTTGTAACTGAACAACTTACTGAACCTCTGTTTTCACCAAATTTTGTTCATGCTTTATGTTACTTAACTGGAAATTCTTCCTAAATGTTCCAAAAGTGAGTTTATTTTTTTTTAAAGGAAAGGATTATTTATGTATTTATTTATTAGACAGGCAGAGTTGCAGAAAAAGAGGAAGAAACAGAAAGGGAGCTTTTTCCATCCAGTAGTTCACTCCCCTAATGGCCACAGTGGCCAGGGTGGGCCAGGCTGACCTAGGAGCTTCATCCAAGCTTCCAGCATGGGTGGCAGAGGCCCAAGCCATCGGGCTACCTTCCACTGCTTTTTTAGGAACATTAGCAGGGAGCTGGATCTGAAGTGGAACAGCTTGGACATGAACCACTACGTATATAGGACGCCAGCCCTGCTAGCGGCAGCTGAATGTGCTGCATCACAGCACCAGTTCCACAAGTGAGGGGTTTTTGTTTTGTTTTTACATGAAAGGTGCTTCCCTTTATGGTCTGGGGAGCCGATTAAGGTTTGATAAAGGTGTTAATTGTTTCTTTTTTTTTAAAGCAGTATCTTTGTCATAGACTTTGGTCTTTCAGATTACTAAAGCCTTGTATTTATGATGCCAGTTATCACTGCTGCATCATCTCCATAATGTTTCTTAATATAACCTAGAGACTCTTTTCTTATTTTCTTCCATTTGTATACATTTACAGTTTTTCATAATGCAAGAAAAGAGTAAATCAGGATTAATAGTACTCTAGATACATTTTCTACACAGGAAAAAATGTCCATTAAAACATTGTCATTTTAAAATGAAGCAAGCTAATGGCTAATGGAATAAACAGACATTCCTAAATTAGCAAATTTTTTTTCCCTCTTGACACACATTTTTGCTAAGGGAAATTTTTAGAAAGATAAAAATGTGCGAACAAAATGAAAGTTTGCTAAAATATTTCCTTTTATTGTAAAATATTTTCCCCAGGAAAATCAGCTAGGTTGTCTGTGCTAAGACCTGCTGGTCCCTGTGAGGCTTGGTTGCTGGGGAAATGAATCAACTGGAGACACTCATTTTACAAGGTGGCTGTTATGGTGTGGCAATTAAGATAGGCTGGGGAAGCCCACATCTTATGTCACAGTGTATGGTCCCAGTTCCGGCTCTTCTACTTTTGATCCAACTTCCTGTCATTGTGGGTCAACCAGTTGGATTCTTGCCACCTGTTCTGGCAGAACTAGATGGAGTTCCTGTCTTGTGGTTTTGGTCTGGCCCAGCTGTGGCTGTTGCACATATTTGAACCATCAACCAGCAGCTAACTAGAAGATCTCTCTGCCTTTCAAAGAAATGAACATAAAACTTAAGGAGAAATGGTTATTTCAGGGCGTAGGCTCACATAAAGCGACAAGTCAAACCATGGAAGAGTAAGAGCAGGCCTCTAGGATGCCCTGTTCTTCTCAAGGCTATAGCTGCAAGTATGCTTTTTTTTTTTTTTAAAAAAATTCATTCATTCTTTTCTTTCTTTCTTTCTTTTTAAGTTTGAAGAGTAGAATTCACAGAAAGCAACAGAGAGAGGAATAAATCTTCCATCCTCTGGTTCACTCCCCAAATGATCACAATGTCCAGAGCTGAGCTGGTCCCAAACCAGGAGCTTCCTTCCTCCAGGTCTCCCACATGGGTGCAGCGGCCATGTTTGGGATGGGGAGGAGGCTGTGTGTGCCTGTCCTGAATGTGAGCATCTTCACAGGATGTGCACGCCGTGCGGGAGGGTCTCAGGCTCTCTGCTTGGGATCTGTGTATTTCTGTGGTCCCACAAGATAGCCATCTTTTTTAGAATTATTCTTAAGCATATAATCTTCGGTAATCGCTTCTGTATCCTGCAATTTCCCCAGGCAGCATTTATCAACTTTTCTCTCCACCATGCTTGTACTTATGCCTTCCAAAGATCTCCTTTCTCCCTCCCTTCCTTCAAGTCATTGTCAGTCACCTCATTGACATTTGACCAAAAGTGTACACTTAGTAAAGGAAGATAACCTGTAAAAACACTGCCTGGAAAAATGACACATGCTGCCAATGGTCAACACCCACTTTCTGGCAGCTATGGTGTTCCATGACTAACTGCTGGTTAGGAAGGTGGCGTTCATTCTCCCCAAAATGTCATGTTTAGAGTCGACATTCTTACTGTGCTGATATTCACTCCCTGGTCCTGTGTCTTCTTCTCCTTTAAGAACCTGAGAACCTATTTCTGCTTTGTGTCATAAGATAATTACTGTGACAGATGTTGTCATTTCCTTGATTCCGGCAGGCTGTGTTTGACGTGGACAAGAAGAAGGGCCTAACTCTGATCGAGCTCTGGGAAGGCCTGACAGTAGAGGACATAAAGAAGAGCACTGGATGTGATTTTGCAGTAAGTGTTGCCGTGAACAAATGCAGCCGCTTGTCCTAGGTCACATGCTTGATGAATGAGTGTTTACAGGACATGAACCACTAATTTGTGATCATTTTTGGAGCTGACCTTTGCAGGGAACACGAGTAGAAGAAAGGGTGCTTGCAACGCAAGAGCCACACAGGAGCAGGTGGGAGCAGGAGCTGGGCTGTGACTCAGTGGCCAGGGTTTGGTTCAGGAATCAGAAGCAGGAGGGGAGGAGCCCCACGTAGCTGCTTCATCGGAAGCTCCCAGAATACACTGTTCTTTGCTTATATGTCAACTGTGGTTAAAGGTGATTAACTGAAAATGTGAACTGCACGGGGAGAAATGGCATTTCCTTATTTTTAGACCCAGTATGACTTGTGACTTTTTCTTTGATTAACATAATATCTTATTATTCCCTCCACTCAAGATACCAGGATGTCAAGTTTCTGACACCATCAGATCTATTATCACAAAATAGGTAGACTGCATTTGAAGATATGCTAAATACAGAATACACTCAGAATTATAAAGCAAACAAATGCATGGGAATGTCCATTTAAGAAATTCTCAAGTCCCTTTTAAAGCAAAGTACATTGAACTAGAAACAGCTGCCCCTTAGTGTAAGTGGTGATTTTTGAAAAATCATTTTTAATGAGGGGTGACAGGAAGGCTTAACCCCTCTGAAGTTAAGCAAAAGGATGCCTCTTAATTAATGAAGAAAGGACTTAATTCTGAAATACTTTTTGATGGACTCATATCCACAAAGTGATGTGTGGTTACAATGTGTTGATGGTACTTACTCACCTTAGATGAAATAACAAAAATTGTAAGTTGTATACATCTCATGTTCCTTCGTTCAATGTGCTACATACTTAACAATACATAATGAGCATCTCTTAAGAATAATTTTTCTAATTCATTATCCACATAGCAACTTTTCCTTCTACTGGAAGTGTCCCAGTAAAACTTTGCACCAAAAGCACATTTTAAAATTAGCTTTCAAAATTCAGGGGGTATGTAGTGGGAGAGTTTGTTTATATTTTATTTAGGATTTCTTAATCCAGTGATAAAGGCAAATGACCTTTCATCAGTTGTTCTTTATTTGGTTTTCCATGTGAAAGAACTCACATCTTAAACAGATAGCATTTTATAGAAGGTATATTATCTTGCAGCAGGAAATTAAATAAAGGAAAACTTATTTTGTAGTTCATTGTTATTCATGTAATTAAAACAGGAATGAAAAAGATTTTTTTTACTGTTTGGCTTTGTCTTACAAAAAACGAAAACGTGCTAGTTTATATGGTTTGACATATTGAACAATATCTGTGGTTCTTGGTAAATCCTGGTATCTTCATCACTTAGCAGTAATACATGATCTTCTTTGCTCCAATCAGGCTGTTGAGACGAATGTTGACTGTTTGTGTTGTTCTAAAAGCAAAAAAAGTGTGGTATCACCTGGACTATGCAGACAGAAGAACTAGTTTTTGTGGGTCTGATGAGCAATGGCATTAAAAAGGACACACATAGTAACAACAGTACATTGAGGATAATGTTCCTGTTTCCGATAGTTCTGACATGAATGTCTTCTGAAGATATTGTTGTTGCTACATGGACAGCACTGCACAGCACGTGTAACTCTATACCAGTATATAGTTAGTATTTCTGTTGGAGAAAGCACTCAATAACTCATCCTTCAAAATGTAACTGACAGAGAAGATTCTAGAAGGGATTAATTAGATAGTTTGTGTCTAATAAGGAAAAAAAAAAAGACAAAAGCCCCAATGCATAACTATTTCAAAGTGTATTGGCGAGGGTCCTATATATCTAAGTATAATGGTAAACAAATGGGCAAGGGTAAGTTAAAAGCTGGTTGAGAATGTATCGAGATGCTCACTTCCGCAGCACATATACTAAAACTGGAACAATACAGAGAAGATTAGCATGGCCCCTGGGCAAGAATGAGAATGTCTTGAGAATTTCAAAGAAAAAGACCAGGACAGTGTCAGATAACAGGACATGACAAAATTATGATTTCAGGGTATTAAGAATGGTTATAATGAAATATTTAAGCACTTTTTATAAAGGAAGTTACTTTTGGATATTTTATAGTTCAATTAGCAAATACAGAAGGAAAAGATAGCCTTTAAATATCACATGAATCAGCTTTAGTGAAATTGTAAAAACCTTCACAGTTGTATTCACGATTCCATGACACTTCAGAGTTTTCAGCGAGAGGCATGGGTGTCTAAAAGTCCAAAGGAAGTTGTGAAAATTTGTTACAGCAGGCCAAGCACTGACCCTCTCTCCAGAAACTTCAGCACACTATCCAAGTAAGATTCTGGCCAGGAGTAGCTTGCAGCTAGAAAAAAACCAAACTCCTCTCCTTCCTCACATATAAATATGTATCCATATGTAGGATCGCTGGACCATATGCCATCTTTTCATTTTTTTGAGAAGCATCCATATTATTTCCCACTATGGCTATACTAATTTACATTCTCCTTTTTTCGGCATCCTTGCCAGCACCTGTTATTTTCTGTTTAATAGAGGCCTTCTAAACGGATATAATGTGGCTTTGATTTGCATTTCTGTTGTGATTAGGGACATTTGGTAGTTTTTCATATGATGGTGGCTGATTTGTTATGTATCTTCTTTGGAGAATTGACTATTCAATTGACTTTTCATCCATTGGTTCATTTGAAAGTCAAGGTTACAGAGAAAGGGAAAGACAGAAATTTAGGGCTAAAAAGTGAGAGAGAAGGAGAGAGGTAGAGTGAGATTGATTCATTCCCATCTTATGATTCACTCCCCAAAGGGCCACAAAAAACCAGCACTATTCCTGGCCAAAGCCAGAAGCTTCATCTGGTCTACTACATGGTTCAAGCACACAGCAGCAGCAGCAGCTGGATTGGAAATGGAGCAGTTACACATGAGTTAGTGCCCATATGGGATGATAGCAACTTTACCTAATTTAGCTGCCGTGCCCCCTGTTCCGCGCCTATTTCTCATTTGAGTTATTTGATTTGTTTTTTGTTTTTGTTTTTTTAATTGTGCAAGTTCCTTTAGGTATTCTGGCTCTTAATCCCTTATCAGATACAGGAGTTGCAAATATTTTGTCATTCAACAGGTCAACTTTTCATGATGTTGGCTGATTATTCTGGTACAGTTGTTTTTTTTTTTTTTTTTTTTTTAAGTCTTGTATAGTCCTCTCATTCTTTTGTGACTGCTTTGGATCAATTTTCTTCTGATGCACTCACATTTTGAAAGAAATTTGTTTCAAAGGGTCAAAACTATAATGCACATTTCCTCTTATTAAAAGCTGTGACAAGCTAACGAAAATGTCAAATTCCTTGATTTTTTACTATATTTATAATATATAGTGTGTCAGTTCTTGATGGGCTCAAGTAGAAAGAAGCAGAAAAGGGAAGCTGAGATCCCACCACTTGAATTTCATTATTCCTAATATTTCCTTGTTTTAGTAAGTAGTAAATTTTTGTTGTTTCACAGTTTTTTAAATATTTAATCATTATTTGACTATGTGATAGAATAAACTTGAAGATGCCATTTGTCATCTCTGATTATCAAATATTCAGTCCATGTCCCATATCAAGCTAGTAATTATAAGATAGAACTAAGTGATAAAGTTCTGACTCCCAGTGCCCTTAGTCTTTTCTACCACTGGCGAAAGATCAAATAAGAAAAGTAGTTATTGATATGTTCTCAATGAAATCTGAACAGAACCCGCTGTAGATCTTACTGGCTGAAGTTAATAAGTATATACTCTCAATATTGATTATGAAGCAACATTGTACCAGAATCCAAGATGTACTCTTGAGATTCTGCCAGACTGGGAAGATGGACTGTTGGCTTGTCTACTACCCTTTGGCTGTCTTGTATAAAGCTCAAAATGTACATCACTCTGGCAGGGTAATCCTCTCTGATCTGCATGGGCTTCCAATGTTGATGAGACTGGGAGAAGAGAATGAGAAATATGGGCTTAGTAGATGTTTTTCATGCAAAAGTAGCCAGGTAATGTCCGACCTCATAAAAACCTCATCTTCTTTTCTGATAAATCCCAGGGAGAGTATTAAGAGCTCAAAATATGAGTAATGTGACAAGGAAAATGATCAGATATTTATTTTAAAAAGCAAAGGTGTCCAGAATTCCTTGTAAAGGAAATACTGTGAAGTATTCTTTTTTTAAAGCAGATCATTTCCAGTGAAGAATTTCATTATTTCCATTCTGTTAAAAAATTGTAACACACATTTATGTAAATGCTAAGAATCCATAGATTTTTCTCTCTCAGGAGAACTGAGTCTCTGCAGGTATGTGGAATGTTGCCTTTGTCCGTTCATTTTGTGGTCTGTTATTCTGCTGTATGTGTGTTGCTTAAATGGCAGACCTGAATGAACTCTTTTACCCTAAGCTTTATACTAAACCTGATTGGTTTTAAACGTCATTTAAGCAAGAAATTCTTACTTATTCTTGATACTTAGTATTCCCACGTTTTGTCCTTATTCATTCTTCTAGAAAAAAATAACGAACAAATGACGAAGGAAATATTAACCATTGACACTGAGGACTTTATACAGATGTTCCTTGTAAATAAACTGAAAATATTTAACTTCTTTGAAGCCAATAATTGCCTTCTTTTATTGTTTATTTATTTTCGCTCCCCTTCCCATTGGTAGAGGCTGCAAGATTATTTAACAGGCCAATTCGGCAACAAAAGGAAAATAAGTTTGAGTTGCTCTAAAGATCAACATGAGGCTTTTGAAAGGATATTAGACCATTTATAAATGATAATTATGTTTTTAAAAGATTTATTTGTATTAGAAAGGCAGATTTACAGAGAGAGGAGACAGAAAGGGAACAATCTTTCATCCACTGGTTCATTCCCCAAGATGGTCACCAACAGCTGGAGCTGAGCCAATTTGAAGCCAAGAGCCAGGAGCTACCTCTGGACCTCCCATATGGGTGCAGGGATCCAAGAACTTGGGTCAACCTCAGCTGCTTTCCCAAGCTACAAGCAGGGAGGCGGCTGGAAAGTTGAGCACCCAGGACATGAGCCAGCACACAGATGGGATGCTGGCGTGGCACATGGAGGATTAACTTGTTGTGCCACATCGCTGGCCCCCAGTGCATTTTCTTCTAATTTGTCCTGAATTACCATCTGGGAAGGTCAGTTTTTCTGATCTTTATCAACAGATGGCCAAGACAAGTTTCTTAAAGGTTGTATGGCTGTTGCCCTGCTGTCTCCTAGATTTCACATTGTTTGCCCGTAACACTCTGGCACAGCACATTTCTGCTGTTCACCTCTGCCTCTGTGTGGCACTCTGTGGTACCAGCTCTGCACAATTCATACAACCTCAGAGCAAGTTTTTGCAAAGCATGTTTGAAACCACTATTGTCTGTTATTAAGGATTTCCTAACTTGGTAGATATATCTATAGGAAATGGGACAGGGGACGCAGAAACAGGACTTTTGAATGTTTAAAATGGGTTGACTTACCTTCTGTTACAAACCTTTCATCTGTTCTTTGGAGCGTATCAAAATCATCAACTGATTATTCATTATTATTTATTCTAGGAAATGGATGGGGAACCCTGTTTCTGCCAAAGGCCATTTGAATATTTGTAACATCACTCATGGACCATACAAAATTATCAACTTGCAAATTAGTCTGCTGTAGACTATTTGAATTATGAATTGTTCTTGTAGTTTCCTGGGTAGGGTGTAACCAAATGATTTTGTGAGCTCTTATATGGTCCACAGACAAAATATTCCCTACCCCTGCTCTAGGGGGGTAAAATATTAATTAGGCCTGCCTCATCCTTAACCAACTCAAGAAATCCCCCAAGGCCAGATACTTGGCACAGTGGTGAACACAATGATTAAGATGGCTACAGCTTATAGTGGCATGCCTGGATTCAATTGCAACTTTCTGCTGATGCACACACACCAGGAGGCAGGAGATGGCTTAGATACATTGGTCCCTGACATGTATGTAGGACACCCATCCCATTGCTGCTGTTAGTTTTTACCCACAATGAGTCCTTACACGCAACTAATTTCCACAGCCAAGTCCTCTTTTCACAATAGGTTTGTGGCCATAAGCCAAAATGTCAGACACAGCAAGGTACCTAGGAGGTCCTTTCATTCTAGCAGAGTAGGAACAGGGGTGGAGGAGGAAGGGAAGAGAATGAGAAGGGAAACATCTGCCACAGAAAGAGGTTGCAAGGGCAGGGGAATGGGGAGGGGGCAGATGCAGGAGGATGGGGAAGAGGCAGGTGGGGAAGCCACAGCACACACAGGTGAGAAGGAGGAAGTGAAGGATACTAGATGGGCTTATTGGAGTCTCAGCTGATTGGTAGGTGGGCAGAAATTAGGGGCAAGGGCCGAGAGAGATTGGTGGGTATAGTTATCAGATACAGCACCATAAGGTTACAGCCAGTTGGTAGGTAACCAGAATGGCATGAAATTTGCAAGCTGTGGGAAGAAGCAGGAAGTGACACCAGATCCAAGATGGCAGGGCCTCATCAGTCTCCAGAATGGTATTTGAGCCACTCCTCACAGCCACGGTTCATGCCCCATCTGTTCCACTACCTATCCAGCTTCCTGCTTGTGGCCCAGGAAAGCAGTAGAGGATGTCCCAAACCCTTGGGAACCTGCACCCATATTGGGGAACTAGAAAAAGCTTCTGGCTCCTGGCTTTGGATCAGGTTAGGATCAGGCTGTTGCGGCCAATTGGAAAGTAAACCAGCAGATGGAAGATCTTTCTCTTTGTATAGATGTCAGTCAACTGAATTGAGTTCCTACTACTGGCTCTGGCCCTGTTCTAGCTACAGCCATTAGAGCCACTTGGGGGAGTGAATCATGCATAGGGATCTGTTTGCTTCTTTGTTTCATTGTCTTTCTCCTTCTCTATAAAGAAAAATGCTTTAAAAATTATTGAATATTTAAATTTCAGTAGAGACTGTTACTAATTAGAACTCACTGTGGATTTGCCATGCTGAATTAGGAATTCTGAAGCTGGTACCACATGTTGAACTGTCACAATTAAGCAAGGTCGCTTCTGTTTAGTGTTTCGGTTTTCTTCATTCACTAGTTATACCAGACACATTCTCTCTCTCTCTCTGTCTTTGTGATTCAAGACCCAGGAATCCATTTTCATATACATACACTATGATTATAATCAGGTTTTTTTTAGTTCATTTTCATTTATTGGAAAGGCAGAATGACACAGACAGAGGATGTTAGGGGAGATCTTGCATCCACTGATTTCACCATCCACATACCACGACAGATGGGGATGGGCCAAAACCAGGAACCCAGAATTCTATATGGGTTTTCCACAGGGGTACCCGGGGCCCAGCTAGTTGAGATAGCATATGTTGCCTCCCAGAGTGTCAAGCAGGAAGCCAGATGTGAAGCCGAGTCTAGGACTTGATTCTAGCACTCCTGTGTGGGGTGCAGCCATCCCAAGTGGCGCCTCATCTGCAGCTCTGAAGGCGTGCCCTTATGGTCACCATTTAAGAAGCTTCACACCTCTAACTTTTTGGAATAGCTCATGGTCCTATTACTGCCTTTGTATTTTCCAGTAAGACTTAATCATTGATGAACTGTAGTATATGCACACATGATGGAATACTGCTGTGTCATCAGCAACAATGAAACCCTGACTGACATAAAATGGATGCAACTGGAAATCATTATGTTTATAAAGAAGCCAGATCCAGAAAGACAGTATCATATTTTCTCTGATTTGTGGTAGCTAATATATAAAGCATAAAAATTTAACACATGTCAGTGAAATTCGCATTCTTATAATTTGATTAGGCCCAGCATGATGACTCAAAGGTAAATCCTTACTTTGCAAGTGCCATCATCCCTTAGGCTGCCAGTTATATCTCGACTGCTCCACTTCCCATCCAGCTCCCTGCTTGTGGCCTGGGAAAGCAGTAGAGGATGGCACTGTGACTGGCTAACAGATATGCCTATCTCTCTGGACCCTCCAATGAAGTTAAAGGTCAAGAAACACAGGAAGCACAGGAAGCTGTGTCCCAGGGCAAATTCATTACCTGCTGAAAAGCAGGATGAATGTAACATTTGACTTCCTAGAATTGTTTACAAAGGAAGTCCTAGCACAACTCATTAAAGGGGAACAGAAGAGAGACTGGGGTGTAGCCCATCACTCTTGTTTCATGCACAGTGAACAGGACATGTTGGGGCCTCCACCAAGGACACAGTGTACCATGTGCCCATGGCCTCCCATATGGGCTAGGCAGGCAGAGATTCATGGGCAATCTCCCACAGACAGTTGCAGGCATCCTTAGCAGAGGAGCAACATCACGGGAAGGTTTAGAACCATGGGACCCTGCAGATGTAGGCAGAATAAGAGTTCTCTGTCTTATTCTGTAGGTTTTGATAATAGAAAACAAGATTATCCTAATGTAAGTCCACAAAAAGGTTGGTTATAAATTTGAAGAAGTATTTATTTCATGTAAATTTTTGTAATTAATTCTTTTTTTTAAAAAAAAGCTCTATCTTTCTGTTATTTTTAACTTTACAATTCCCAATTCCATAGACTTTGTAATTGATTTCTTCCCCCTCTCTTTCACCAGGTGTCACCAAAACTCATGCCAATGCAGCAGATCACTACTTGAAATGTGGACAGACATTTGTCCCAGCCTGCGTGTTGTTCATTGTAAACCTGCCCAATTAAATTGAAAGAACATCAGCAATCATGCTTGCGTATTTAACGAGTAGTTTTCTTCTAGCTTCTCAAACTTTCTACAGCCATATTGACGTTTCTTTCAAGTGTGTTATAATAGTATAATGAAAAGCAAAATATGTGACAATCTTACCTGTTTTCTAGGTTCTGAAGTTTCCTTTTATACTTGGTGCTTATGTTGAATGTATCTGTGCCTTCTCTTATATAAGCTCAATTTTATTCAGGATCCACCAAGATGGGCCATAGGAAGAATTTTGCCAACGTACTTCTGTCTATTCGTTTTGACTCTCTGGACTGAAAAAACAAATACATTGATAGGCACCTGTGCAGCTTCTGATCTGGAGAAGTGCTATCTCCAGGATTATTTTTCTCTCTGCCTCCTCTGACTTTTCTTCTGGGCCCTCTGATTTTGTGGATCACATGTTGTTTTGCTAGACTGTTTTCCTGCCTCCCACACTTCTTCTAGCCAAGTAGATACCCAAGAAAGCAAACAGGAACAGCTACGCAAAACAGAGGAGAAGTAACTGTCTCACGGAAGACCAAATATGGGAAATATTGGTGCCAAGATCCTACCAATAAGTTGCCTTTATTAACAACTTTCTTCTGTACTCTGCCAAAGACTAAGGCTTACCATAGGAGGAGGGTTAGGAACCCAGTCTGTCTATGCACTTTTCTCATTTTTGTTGTTGTTACTGAGGCCTGTGGGCTACTTGTACAATGCCTGCTCTTAAGTCAATAAGGACTGTAATTTATCATGAACCATAGACACAAATGCAGCAGTGGTTTTAAAAAAAAAAGTCTGTTCAGGTTCTCATTTCTGTTCATAAAAGATTCTAAGTATCGAATGAATTTTTCTACCCAGCTTTTCTTTTTTACTCTGCCAAGGCTACTTGCTTTAACAAAGCGTGTTTAACTCATCCTTATTGAAGCTGAGTAAATAATAATGGACAAGTCCAGGCTTTAAAGAGTCAGTGACTTTGAGTGTTAGAGAATCAACATGAAGCATTTGGTTAGAAAGGGGCTTTTCATCAATGGTGTCCTTAGTATCAGACATGTGTCCAAAGGGTATCAGGTGGGGAAAGAGTCTGGGTGCTGGGGGGACAGGCTGGACAGCTGGCCTCTGGATGGAGTTAGGCATCATACAGGGCTGTTTATCATTTCTCTAGCACTAAGCGTAGGGATGTGTTTAGGTACAGTCATTGAAACTTGTATTCAGAAATAGGGGAAATAGACTTTCTGTGAACGGCGCACTCCAACTGTAAATTTGCCTTCTCCCTGGCTCTAAAGCTCTGTCCTAACAATTTGCCAGGTCTGTGAGATTACTATATTTTTGTTAGAGTTATGATTGGCAGTTGTCAATATTTTCAAATATATCTGTTTATCATTCCTGTCTGTCACTTCAAAATATTGCAATTTTAATAATGTTCTAAATCTTAAATGGTACAACTGAAGGAGAGGATACACTGTTCTTAACTAAGAACTCTATGGATGTTATAAAACACATTAACAAATACAGTAAGTATTCGAAGTGGATATAGATTGTTGTTGTTGTCCTTTATCTCACTTGGGTGTGGTGTGGTTAAGCGGTGGAAGGATATGGCAGAGACCGTTGTGAAGGCCAACAGTGAGAGTGAGGTCAGCACCAACTTGTGGTTTCCGCCTCTCCTTTATCTAAGATACTTCCCTTGTAGTAGAAAAAGAAAAAAAAAAGAAGAAATGCATGCTGTGTTTTGCTTCTTGTCAGAGCCAATTATGTCCCAGTTTTCACGGTAATAACTTTTTGGTTTTGTCCAAAAATCTCCCTTGCTGTATACATACATTGTTTCATATCCAAGAGCCATGTTGGGTTTTCTTGCATTTTGAATTGACTCTTGTGTTGGCTCCTGTGTAACAGACTCATCCCCCAGCCAAAAAGAGTGTGTGAGTTTCCTGGAGAGACCACTCTTGATAGCGAACCTGTGTGCACAGTGATTATACCCAAGGATGGTGTATGATCCATGATATGTCAGTCATGTTTTTTCTCCCGCATTTAAAAACAAGTCACTGCTGAACTCCAGGTGGAGAGAAACACATAAACACAGAACAAAAGGAGGGCAGCTCCTGGTGGGCTTGAATTCCTGGTTCTGAATTAGAATTTAAGAATGGGTCTTAAGACCAGCTGCCTTCCAACCATGCCATAAATACCAATTTTTGCTTGAGTTGTATCTTTCATTTGCTGCCATAATATGAACTCACAAGCTCTAATTCTTAAGTTCCTTTTTAGGGATTTATTTGAAAGGCAGTGTGAAGAAAGACCAAGAAGAAAGACAACTTCTATCTGCTGGTACACTTTCTAGTTGGCTGCAACAGGCAAGTCTGAGCCAGGAGCTCCGTCTGGGTCCTAGGTACCTGAGACATCTTCCATTCCTCTCCAAGGTACATTAGTAGAAAGTTGAAATGAGAAGTGGAGTAGCCAGAACTTGTACCTGCACTCCCATGTGGGATGCTAGAGCTGCGAGTGGTGGCATAATCCATGTGTCTTAATGTCTGTCTTTGAAATTTGCAAGTCCTAAGAGGGACTTGGCCTGCTACAGAAGCCTGTGGAATATGAGCAAAGGTGCTTATTGTCTTGGCCCAGAGAACACAGGCAAGGGGCATTTATAAGTGGGATGAGTGGGTAGGAACGCTGTCGCCAGAGTCGTCTCACTCCAACTCAGAATAATCAGCAAAATTTGGGATGTTATTGCAATGAAAGTATAAGATATTTCATAAATGGATAGATGGTTTCATCATTACCCTCTTTGCTCATGGAGTATGTCCATGCATTCCTTAAGCTTATTTTCAGATTTTCTATTTTTAGAAGGGGATGAATACCCTAATTTCCAATGTAGATATTTAAGACACAGGTAATATATCGAATTGCAGGAAACTAGCAGTCTTTTAAAATGCTGTATAAGTGACAGAACTCTTGTTGTTTTGTTTCAATGATGACACTCCCCCTTACTGCAAACTGAATAGCAAACTGACTTTAAGCACAAACACCAATGGATGTAACGTGATCTGGTGCACATCTGTGTCATGTGGGTACTTGATGTCTTCCATCTCTGTAAATGGAGAATGACTGTGCAAAACTACCAGGAAACATAGCCTGTCCCATGAGAGTGACATCTGTTAACCCAGAGAGCCAGTGGATAAAACAATCCTTTTCCTCAAGATCAAACACAAATCATTTATGATCAAGGGAACTACTGGTTGATTATGGTCATTAAGTGCTGTTCCAGACAGTCCTGTCAGAGAGGTCCTCAAGCAGCCAGATTCTGGGTCTTTGGAAATGTGACCCACAGCATGTCCACAGGGAACTGCCCCCACGCCCCTATTAGCTGTTTTGAAACAATGGCATCTTGAGTACCTGGTGCAGCCATTTTGTATCTTTGGCTGCTTCTGTAAAAGTCAGGCATTTGATGTCCGGCACTTTAAAATTTCCAGGAAGAAGCCAAACTGTTCCAGAAGCTCACACAGAAAGCCCCAGGGTCCCCTCTGTGAAGCCGGCATGATTTGGTGGTAGGAGGTGATAGCTCCCACGTGGCCCATCAGCGCTCTCCAGAGCTCAGCAAATGCTCCTCTCATCTCTAGTTCCCAGCCTGGGCGTGCGCTCGGGTTGGGTGAAGGGTTGAGAGCTGTCTTACTGCTTATCCCAATGAGTTTTCAGTTTTGTTCGTTTTAGAATCTTTGTATTTTTGTATAGCAACTAACCCACCCATGGGAGCCTTCTGAGTATATTTAATTGAATCACTTTACTAACTAAAAGCATGGATGGTATAAGGCCTGGCTTAGAGGCCTTCCTCAGCGAAACAATGACAGACATTCTCTCAGGATGAAGGAAGAAAAGACAAAAAGAATTGAGATGGGTTCCAGAAACTGTGACAAAGGAGCCAAGAGCTTGAAATAATTCCTTATATTTAACACTTCATAATTTACAGGATACCCAGAATATGAGAGCTGGCTTATTTGATTTTCACAATAACCTGCCAAGCAGACATTATTACCTCCATTAAAATTAACTTGATTAGTCTGAGAGAAGTAATGTCCATCAGTTCTTTAATCAAGTTAGCCTTTCGGGACTGAGGTTGGATTTTGCCGGGGTACTTAATGAGATGTGAAGTGAATCCCCCAGAAAGCACCAGGTCTATTGCTCTCCAGTAAGCTATGAAACGTGGAGTTCAGATGCTTTACGCCTACACGGGACAAACGTGCGGGTTTCCTTCTCCCTGCCCACACAGCCCTTTTGCATAACCCAGTTCATGTGGAAGCGTCCCTATGCAAGACTTGTGATCACTGGATTTGCTCACTTCCAAGGCCCTGTGTAGACACCAACAGATATGGACACTCACTTGACACCAGCAAGATGGGTTGACAGGCTCTGCTTTATTTTTGTGGCTTTAATCCAGTTTCCTTGGTATTAAAATCAGACTTGTGTCTCATTCAGTTGAGCCTAGAGATCAAGCTGATACTGGCAGCCTGAATGTAGATGTTGACTGGTGATATGGGAGGAAGATTGCTGTGGGAGAAGATGGGATTGATCAGAGAAGAGTGCTGATTCCATTGCTGGAGCCCGGAGGACTAGTGGGATGAGAGTGAGTGGAGCAGGCTTCAGGCTCCAGCAAGACACGTAAGAGATGACATAGGACGTTACTGTACTTCTGTGTGACACCATCATTTGTGCTTGACTTGTTATCAGGAGGGATTTTTTTGCATAAATGTTAAGACTTTTTTTAAAATTTAGGACTATTTTATTTCTATTTGAAAGACCAGGTCACACACAGAGAAGAGAAAGATCCTCCATGCTCGTTCACTTCCAAGATAGCTGCAATGGCCAGTTAGACCAGTCTAAAGCTGGGAAGCAGGAGTTTCTTCCAGGTCTCCCACTCAGGTACAGAGTCCCAGGGATTTGAGTCCTCCTTTGCTATCTCCCTAAGCCACAGCAGGGAGCTAGATGGAGCAGCTGGCACATGAACTGGCACACACATGAGA